TATAAGCGGTAGGGCATCAGATATTCCGCCTGAATCAGATCGCTACAAAGAGTAAATATAAGCGGTAGGGCATCAGATATTCCGCCTGAATCAGATCGCTACAAAGAGTAAATATAAGCGGTAGGGCATCGGATATTCCGCCTGAATCAGATCGCTACAAAGAGTAAATATAAGCGGTAGGGCATCGGATATTCCGCTTGAATCAGATCGCTACAAAGAGTAAATATAAGCGGTAGGGCATCAGATATTCCGCCTGAATCAGATCGCTACAAAAAGTAAATATAAGCGGTAGGGCATCAGATATTCCGCCTGAATCAGATCGCTACAAAGAGTAAATATAAGCGGTAGGGCATCAGATATTCCGCCTGAATCAGATCGCTACAAAGAGTAAATATAAGCGGTAGGGCATCGGATATTCCGCTTGAATCAGATCGCTACAAAGAGTAAATATAAGCGGTAGGGCATCGGATATTCCGCTTGAATCAGATCGCTACAAAGAGTAAATATAAGCGGTAGGGCATCGGATATTCCGCTTGAATCAGATCGCTACAAAGAGTAAATATAAGCGGTAGGGCATCGGATATTCCGCTTGAATCAGATCGCTACAAAGAGTAAATATAAGCGGTAGGGCATCGGATATTCCGCTTGAATCAGATCGCTACAAAGAGTAAATATAAGCGGTAGAGCATCGGATATGCCGCTTGAATCAGATCGCTACAAAGAGTAAATATAAGCGGTAGAGCATCGGATATTCCGCTTGAATTGGAGCGCCTGTTTGGGGAAGTAACCTCAAACTTACTGAAGATTACAGTTAAATAACACTACCTTGAGGAGCTCGATGGCACGGGTGGTTAGCGCGTTCGGCTGCGATCGTTGAAGCTAAGCAAGTTTCGCAGTGGCCGGTCATTGGATGGGTGACCAAAAATCTCGAGTTCCTTCGTGCTTCGGAAGGCACATTACGCCGTTGGTCCCGGCTAAATCTGCAGTCGTTAGCACCCGCCAATCCGCACTGTCATGACCCAATCTCCCTATTCCATATATGGGGAAGGCCTATGCCCCACTAGGGACATTAATAAGCTAATGATGGTGATGATGATGACACTACCTTTTGGTGGTATTGTGTTTCTGTCGGTGAGTAAGGTTCCAGGGCTCTACTCATCATCGTCATCATCATCGACCCATGCTCGTCCACTGCTGGACATAAGTCTCTCCTCATGCACGCCACTGCTCCCGATTTTCGGCCACTCTCATCCAGCCCACTCCAGCCAGCCTTCGAATGTCATCATCCCATCTTGTCTCAGGGCGTCCCACACTACGTTTCTCTACTTCTTTACAGGGCCTTCTTTTTTTCAGGGCTTTACTACCCTGACCCAATACCCTACTATTGGGTCAGGGTAGGCAACGGAGTGAGTGATATCTTTGGTATTGCTATAGGCTATGGTGGCCGCTTACCATCAGGCAGGCCAAAGGCTTTCAACATAAAAAAGAAAAATAAAAAAATAAAAAAATCCAGCACACACCAATGAGCCTAGCCCCAAAGTAAGCACTATAAGGCTTGTGTTATCGGATACTAGGGTAACGGATAGAATACATATACTTTTACATATATAAGTATATTTATATAGAAATAGATATTAAACATCCATGACTGGAGTACAAATGCTCGTGTTCATCACACAAACATCTGCCCCCACCGGGATTCGAACCCGGGAACTCTCGAGTCGGCGACGCCATGAAACCCGGCGTACAAACCACTCGGCCACGGAGGTCGTCAAGATAAGGAAATAAAAATAAGGATATCATTTTTTTTATATATATATCTAGGTAGGTGCCAAAGAATACGGAAAAATAATCCCCGTAATCTGTGCTCTCCGTAAATATGATTCCTTGGACTTTACCACAAAACACAGAAAGAGGTTAGAAAAGTGATCTTAGACCGTTTGTGCGGGAACCGAAGTTGAAGGCTCACACCCACTACACTTCCACCTAATAGATAATAGCCAATCAAAGGGCGCGACATCAAAGAATTGAACTAATTAGTGCTTGTGTGCCGAGAGCAATGACGCAATCAGAACCAAGTCTTGGCCAAGTTATGAGCATTTGCTCTCACATAACTGTGGCGCGACTGCCCTTCTAACTTTTTCTGTGTTCTATGGACTTTACTTACCGGCAGAAACACAATCACTACACCATCGACAGGTATAAGGTATAATACCTTTATTTTACCTTATACCTTTAATCAATACCTTTATTAATTGACATTATTATATTGCGGTCTTAAGTAAGATGGAAGTTACTAGTTAGAGGAGGGTGCTTCGATTGGAGCGGGAATTCCCCTATATCTGAATTATGAATATCAGAAATCCCTGTCTATCAAACTTTTTATTTATTTATTTATTAACGTAGAGCTGTAGAGCTGACGACGTGTAGAGCTGTAGTGTAAACTATAGTTTTTGTTCTCAGGCTTGTGTTATAAACAATAACTTTATTTATATAATTACACGTGTTATTGTGAGTCAACCATAAAAGATAGACATATGCTGTTGCGGGATATTTTTTAGACAATTTTATGTAGAATAATTCCGTCATACATAATTTCTATGTAACTTTAACCATTAAAGCTGGACACGCGAGGGAAGCTTAAAAAATGGAGTAACTTCTCCCGTTTTTCCAATATTTCCCTTCACTACTCTGCTCCTATTGATTGTAGCGTGATGAAAAGTATACTATAACCTGCCCAGGAGTATGAAGAATAATTGTACCAAGTTTCGTTAAAATCTGTCTAGTAGTTTTTGTTTCTATAAGGAACATACAGACAGACAGACAGACAAAAATTTTACTGATTGCATTTTTGGTATCAGTATCGATCACTAATTATCTCCTGATAGTTATGTTGAAAATATATTTCATGTACAGAATTGACCTCTCTACAGATTTATTATAAGTATAGATAAGGTTCGCCGGAAACAAAAACATTCATCATCAATAGCCTATTAATATCCCCACTGCTGGAGCCTATGAATGGAATAGGGAGATTGGGCCATGACCCACCACGTGGGCCCAGTGCAGATCGGTAGGTGCCAACGACTGCAGATGCAGCCGGGACCAACGGCTTAACAAGTCTTCCGAAGCACGAGATAGTAAATTTTTGGTCACCCCTCCAATGACCGACCACTGCGAAAGTTGCTCCGAACGCGCTAACCACTTGCGCCATCGAGCTCCTCGACAAAAACATTATTACAGTGTAAACATACATTTTGTTATATATCTCATTATATATAAATGGCTTCATTATATTAAGGCAAACACAGTATGCGTGGTGAAATGAATCGAGTAGACGCAATGAAGAAAAGACAATCAGTAACAAAAAAATACAACACAGCCAGGATAACATTTTGACAATTTCGATAAAAATTGACATTAAAGTTATTGCAGACTGAAACAAAACTCTATCTGCAGCTCTACTCTCTTTCTCCGAAACGAAATTTCGACAACGAACGAATTTTATACGAAACTAGCTGACCCAGCGAACTTCGTACCGCCCTAAAAAAATAGGGGTTGTCCAGCGGACAAAATTGTGAATCTAAACCATTCTCAGATCCCCTTGAACACACACAAAAAATTTCATCAAAATCGGCCCAGTCGTTTAAGAGAAGTTCAGTGACATACACACTCACAGAAGAATTATATATATAAAGATTTCCCCAGTGACTTTTCTCTATTTCATCTTCGAACACGCACATAAAGTTTGGAATCACAGACAATTATCGTGAACGAATGGAATGAGTTATGCTTGTGAGTTCTTTTTGTCTAGACTTTTTAGATAACGTTTTTTTACTTCAAAACAATATTACTTTATGACAACATTTTTAATTACATTAAAACAACCTCTTTTGTCATTGTTAGCCGACTACTTTGTAGAGTTGATGCAATCGAATGTATGTCAACCTAAATTTGTCGTGTAACATTTTGAAATATCGGCAATACAATAATAAACAAAAATTTAATTTATTTGTAAATTTTTCATACTAAAGAATGTTCCTCACACTAGGCGGCCTTAATCAAAAATACTGTAGTAGTAATTTTAGGTTTAATTTAAACAAAAATCCCAAAAAGAAAATGAAAAGGTAACACTTTTCATTTCGTCAATTTGAGGTTAAAATTTAGAACAATTATCTGTCGAATTAAACTTTTAGTTCAAAAGTTTTGTGAATTAGAGTAGGCTTAGAGAATTTAAATGTCAAACTATTTTCGGACGAACGAATTTTCGAAATGAAATAGAAACAGAGTAAGGAACGTGTGAAATTTCGATCGAAATTTCGTTTTTCGTTGAAATATAATAGGCCTCCTGTTGCTTGAGCCTGCTTAAAGTAATAGTACCTTTAAAAAGAGCTAATATAGAAACAGAAGGCGATATTGTATCAAAAGAAGTTTATATGATACTGAAAGCATACTGAAATAGAAGTTTATATGATACTGAAAGCAAGTTCACAATATTATTCACCAAAAAATCGCCTCTGCATCTACATGATTATTAGTACTTCCAAGGCAAACGAAGTATAAGAATAGTAAATGATATCAAATTCCTTAAATCTGTTGATATATCGCAGGTGGAATCATTCATAGGTAAATAGAATTTCAATTTGTGCACCCAGATAAACAAATTGTTTTAATTACAAAAAATACATAGACCAATTTTTACAATAGGTACTTCTCATATGTTTCTAATTAAACAACAGCCAATCATTTGCCGCTCATCGTACAACCTTGACAATCCAGAAGTGGTTCTCACAATTTTACGCATACGGATATTATCAAAGAGTATGGCAAAAAAAAAAAGTAAAACACTATCTGTCAAGGAAGAGTAGTGCAGCGAGTGATATGGCTCATGCGCATTGCATAGCAATGACCATGATACCATTTTCAGTGCTCTGCTGTAGAGATGTACGAACGAGAGGTGGTATATAATCCGCGCATCTTTTCCCATCGTCACAGTTCAACGGCAGCCCGCCAATACAACACTCCTATCCTTAATTTTATCATTCACAAAAAATTATAACCATGAAATTGGTGAGTTTGAGAGTCCAAGACTCTGTTGAATTCCTACATTTCCGTCGGGATAAATAAAGATTCGTTTTCATAGAGATCCTGCTTCTATGTTCCCACGGGACCAATTTGATTAAAAAAAGCCTATTTGAGTTATTAAAATAGTTTGAAAGCCAAATACTCAACTGAAAGAATACTTACAAACCTGGAAATTGTTACTAAACTGAAAAAAAACTGTTTATCTACTTGAACCATATCAATATTTAACACTTATCATTTTAATGATGCATAATGTACTATTCATCACGATTCTTCCAATAAAAACTACATCCTTAACACATAACTTATAAAAGATCTTTATTAACTATTAAACTCAATCAATTTTATTGCAAACCAATGATCTCCGACTTAAATAAACCTGTTATTTTTAATGCGATCATCTCTTGTGAAATACATTAGACTAATCCAATTTTATTTTGTGTTTAGCTGGTGGTAGCTGCTGTTCTCGGAGTCTGCTTAGCAGACCGTCTTGACAACAAATACCTCCCCCCCAGAGGTAACCAAGGAGCTGGTTACAGTGGTAACAGCGGCATCGGACAGGGACCTATTGGCTTCGGCCAAGGAGGTGCTGGTTTCGGCCAAGGAGGCGCTGGTTTCGGCCAAGGAGGTTTTGGACAAAAGGGTGGTTTCGGACAGTCTGGATTCGGCGGTCAAGCTGGTTTCGGTGGTGCCCCTAGCAACGCTTATGGCGCTCCCGGTGGCCGATCCAACTCCGCTGATGCTTCCGCTCAAATCCTCAGACTGAACAGTGACGTCACTGCTGACGGATTCTCCTACGACTTCGAAACCTCCAACGGAATCAGAGCCGACGCTTCTGGAGTTGCCACCAACGGTGTACAGTCCCAAGGAAGCTTCGCCTACAAGGGTGACGATGGCCAGGACTACAGCATCACTTACACCGCTGATGAGAACGGATACCAACCCCAGGGTGCTCACCTTCCCACCCCTCCCCCCATCCCGGAAGCCATCCTGAAGTCCCTGGAACAGAACGCCCGTGATGAAGCCGCTGGCATCAGTGACGATGGTAAGTCAACATCATATTTTTTAATTATAAATCTTAAATATCATTTCCAATCAAAACCAAAGGCAAACAATTATCCTTCTGAATCTTGTTAGTAATCTATTGTTTTCATGAGTTTAGATAAGTGATTCTTAATTTCTAACAGACAACTACATTTCAGGTAGAAATGAGCTCAGGCATTTAAGTTCAATATTATTTTCGAAATATAGTACTTAAAACAATGAATATAACAGCGTAAATATAATGCTCAATCATCGATTACTCCATTTTTAAGAAAAAATAGCAATGTTTTTATTGTGTATTAAAAAAAGTAATATATGGTCAAACATACTAACGACTTCATACAAATGACCGTAAATTATCAAAAAAGCACGCAAATTGAGTCACCTGTGGTTGGTACTAATTTATCCTGACTATATGTTTTGATCGCGGTTTGACCTTGCCTCGTTTATTGCTGGCAATTTGTTATTAGAACTTTGGCCATTAAACTATGTGGCAAAAAGTAGGTCTTCATCATAATTAAATAGATCTATCTGCAAACAACCAGTTCTTTACTGAATTGAAATTCTGGGGTATAATATTTTGACTGCTGAATTTATTCATCAGTATTTTTCTCTTAATATGATAGTAGATGCAATTTTATTAAAAATATTGTTGCCAGACCTATATCATTTTATCCACACATATAACCCATTTGCAAACTTTGACAACGTTTCAAAGCTAAATAAAACATAATAATGCTATTTACAGTTTAAATTTTATAGTATATCTTAACTGCACGTTATTCAAATATTCAATGTAGATAAGTTTACCAGTACACCTTTAATTACACCCTACGAAATATTTATTTCTAGCAAATTCAAGATTTGTTATACAAATATCATACATTTTAAGATTTAGTTCTAAAAAACTCATACAGCGTTAGATTCTACACCAATAAATTATACTACTGAATACTTAATGCTGCTGGCTGTTTAGTTACAAAATGATGTGAGACCATTGCATCAGCATTGTGTCGTGACCGCATCTGATGCCCAGTTCTCACCTAGGTTAGGTCCAGTTCACTTCATTTCAGTAATGTAAGACTTCTACTGTAGAACTGAGATTTTCCGTATATTTTTCTTTCAAGAGTTTGAGGATATTTTGGATCAAAAGACCTTTATAATTAGACCAATGATGGTGATTAGTATTTGTTTCCTTCGGCGGTAATTCTAAATGTTCTCTATTTTACACAATTCGTTTAGTATACAGACCAACCACAAAATTATCGTTAAATAAACCCAAACGTAGATATTAAAGTATCTAAATACCGCAACTGCTTAATACTAAACCCATGTCTAGATAATGACGTTCCTGTAAGTTACACGGTTAAACTGGTTCTCGCGTGTCTTGTTTGAATTTTCTCTGATTTCAATTGATTAGCCGATATTGTCCTTATACTGAAAAAATAAATATCTTAGGGGTTACATAACATAATTGACAAACCGAAGCATTTATATAAATAATGATGGCACTGGATTACTTCATAGAAAACAATATCAAATATTAGATATTAGGTAAGTTCACTGTGATAATTTAAATAAGAAAAAGGTAATAGTTGCGAAGAAATCATTTACCTCCCTGGACGAGTCTTAAGCTAGATCGTGAGAAATGTCGAGAGGTGCGATTTGTAAGTGCTGCTGTGATCGTGTTACTTGATTAACAGTGAACTGTGAAATTAATGGGCTAATCGAAACTATATCATTTGTTTTCTTCCTTTGCATTGGATAAAAATTGTCTGAAAGAAAATTGTATCAAATCTTAAAATTTAATGCACAATGGTTTTGCTATTCAAATATAATTTAGCCGATAGTTTGATTGAGTTTCAACAGTTAACAGATAACTTTCTAATAAAGGGAAGCATAGAAAAGATGCCACCACAAAATTTTTATTACTTCGAGGATAAGTTGTTGATACGCCCTTATGTTTCGTTTACTACAAGATGAAATAGTATAATAATAACCAAGCTACATTTGACTTTAAATTAGATATCACTTTAACAGCAAGCCCGATATTTGCCAAATGTTATGTCTGTCATAAGATGTAATCATTTAATCATAATGTTGCGCTGCTACCATCATAATATGAGTATGATAGACAGGAGTTTAATACACCCCATTACATACATAATAATCGGTAATTTGTATAATATACCTTACAACCTAATGAACAATGTTGGCAGTGTGGGAACTTATATTTTTTTCCCATCAAAATTCAGAAGAATCTAGCAGAATATTCTGGATATTGTCAATGAACTATTAATGGAAATAATCATTTGTTTTGTAATTTAGTAACATTCCATGAAAAATATCTATCAGCTAAATATCTATTAGTATTGTTCAATTATAAGCAAATACTAGGTTAACCTACGACGAGAATCTTACAGTTCAATAGATATAAATCAATATTAAACGTTTCTCGTAATACCTAAGCCGCAACTGAATTTTAACTGCTTTCAAATTCAATGTGCTTTATGCCACATTACATAAACTTACATAGCGAAGACGAGGCTGAATACTGAGGGAGATTGTATTTTCGTAACATTGAATAATTTTATGATTTTAAAGCTCTACATATTGGTATTTAATGTGTGTCTTACTACTTAGTAAGGTTTAAAGTAATCAGTCAATGATTTCTTCATGTAAGCCAAGTAAAATATCATAACTGCTTTCTTATATCCCTTTATAAATTATTTGAGAATAAAACTTGGAGTCATAGTCACAGCTGAATAGTCCCTTAATTAGTTAAAGTTCCACAAAAAATATTTTAATTAAAATAAAATAACTTTAACTTCCTTAATATCTATCACCGTGCGTCAGGCTAGTTCTAAGCAGCATGCAATTCAATTTGATAAGGTCACATCAAGTTTTGTTACACTAACCGTCGAATGTGCTAATTCATTCAAAAGATTTATGGGATTTAAGGTTAGTGGATTCCCACGACTTAGCATAGTCGAAGTTCTCGTCCTAATCCTTAGTTTTATTGGCCCGTGCTATTAAAATTTAACCGTAGCTATTATCAAGATTAATTTAAACAGTATTAAAGAAGAATCGAAGCATCAACACTAGGGTAATGAAATTAATACTGGTATAGCTTTTAGAAGATAATTAATTCTTTATAACAGATTTTTTAAAAACGCCTTATAATATTATTAAATTTTGTAACAAGTGCGTTTGATACAAAATTTACCTATTCATGTTTTGACTTACTGTTTTTTGACTTACTCTATGAACTTTTATCTTTTCTAGCAACAGAAAAAAAATATCAGAAAGTAGAAAACAGCCACTGGTATACGTGTTAAATCAAATAAAAGAGAAACAAATTGATGAAATCTGACTGATAATTTCCTCACGAATCGCAAACATACACACCAAACAAATCGTGGAGCATCCATCTTGACGAAACATTAATTCCTCGCTTCTATGGCATGAAAACGTTAATGACTAGCCAGGGATGGGTGGGCTGCAATCTCGATATTAATGGTCGGGTGTAATGCCTTCATCTTGGTAATCTCCCTTGCGACACGAACGTACAGATTTAGGACTTACAACTGAGACTTTTCCATAGGTATAGTTAGTAACCTGCGTACTCATGTAAGTCATTTACGCATGTAGATTTTAATTCTGGAAACTATTTTCATAATTTCTTCTTAACGTTGTCCAAGAAAAGGATTCGTCGAGAAAAAATATAGAATATAACTTAAAACATAAAAACTTAGCTATCTGATAGATTTTTGTTTTATTATAAAGGTAGGAAGATTTTCATTACATCCAATATAAACTTATGGAGAATAAGAACTGAGATGTAATACTGTACGATCCGCATAATTATCATTCCTTGCGTGATTGGTGCTTCTTGAGTTTACGCTCTGTAATTGGGATTAGAAGATCGATCGGTGATGAAATAAGTACTGCTAATCTGTGTAAGAGTCAATTACAGTTACTTTGTGTAATTGAAAAAGGAAATACTGTATATTAATTTTGTGTGCGTAAAGATTAAAACTTCTGTTTCAGAAACTGTAAAATAAAATTTCAGGTTATATTTACTCCAAAACAATTATTATATAGAATATTGATACATCGACGCTGTTAAGTTAAGATATTTGAAATCACATATTATTTAGTACAGAAACTAAACAACATTTGTATTAGAATCTAACAAGCAGTATTACATTTATATTACTCAAGTGTCGTTCAACTCATCAAGTCAAATATTTCGAAACATTTTTAAACAATACTGTGATAATTAAAATATGCTTTGTACAGATAATCGACGACGCATGAACTCTGTGAAAACTACGTGGGAATCTTGGAACTATTTATAAAAGATTGACAAATTCAGATTTAGATTAATGATTAGAAATGTGTCATCAGAAACAGTTACAAATTAAACTATATACTGTAGAAAAAAAATATAATACAACAAAGGCAGTTAAATATTAAGAAAGTAAAGCAGATACAGTAAATAGAAGAACACAAAATAGTAAAGGAAATTTAAAGAACCCAATGAACATTGCATCTATTTTCATGACAAATAAGTGAGACAGTATTAATATTTCGAAACTGAGATCAGTTATTGATGATGATTTATAAATGCGTTTATAAACAACCTACACTTATGTATTTCAAAACAAAGCACCGCATCATTCTGACAACTTGCTAATTTAAACTTATTTTCTACACTTACAACGTAATCACTGGTAGATTAACACATGTAGTTTCAAATTGCTTAAGCATTGTTAGAAATCTTAACTTTCGCAACAGGTCACTGTTTAAATGCCTCAAAGACAGTTGCTAATGTAATACCTGTATCTAGATTTCGATTTGGGTTACATTCAGATTAAAATGTGTTACGTAATGAAGATTCATAGGTATATTCTTTTGTTATAATATTTCTAGAAAGTGCAATCGATTATGATTGGGATAGAATGTTTCCAATACTCATTCTAAGTAAATGCAACTTTTCACTATCAGTATTGCAGTACTCTTTTTCATGACTGTATCTCGTCAAACTATTTTGATTATTCAATTACTAACATGAAATCTCAAACTTAAACAAAAATATTTTTTATGTTTATCGAGATCTATCGTAAAATTGTTTCAAGAAGTGAACGACTTATAAGTTCACCATTCGCTCGCGATCGTGACCTTGCGAGCTTTCGGATGAGACTGTGAAGATAGTGCCCCGAAACTAGCGAGTTTTAATCTCTGTTGGATTAACGAGTTGATTAAAAATCACATTGTCATCTCCAAATATATTCTTAGTCGTGTCGACGTAGAAAATATTATTAAATATTAATCATCAATAAGTACCTATGTAGGTACTGATTTGTGTAACACATTTGATTTAGATATTTAACCCGACATTTAGGTATGTCCTCTGCTACTCATTTTATGTATGGAATAAAATGTTATATTAAGTGTACATATTTGAATCTCGTAGCAACAGAAATGCATTTGAGGTTAATTAACAGAATATAGGAAATAATCAGAGGAATAATTCATTCAATACACTTCAAACTAAATTTTCTCAAACCTATGAATTTAACTTTATTTCCATAGGATTACATGATTCGCTTTTCCAGTGTCTTAAGTATTGTATAGGAATTATCGGTACTGCAAAACGCACATTTCGTAGCCATACAAGATTGAAGCGGAGGTGCACACGTGCGTGATTGCTGTTGCGTAAGGACTGCAATTGAATCGTCTGCGTATTACCTGCTTCAATTATGAGATGATATTGTCTCACGACGACGAGCGTGCAGACGCATTCCGTAACAAAGTGACGCCTAAATAGTTGAGAGTGACGCATGTTAAACATAGTATTGAGTGTCTAAGGCCACTATTGTGGGAGCGATGTACCGCCCCAATGATTTAGACAATTGTTCTATGTAGTCGATCAAATACTAATCTCAAATTAATGATGTGGGTTCTCGAATAATAAGTCAATACAAATTTCGACACAGAAAAGCTTCTTGTATCAAAAGACTGGATAACGTAAACTCCTCAAAACTTTCTCATCGATAATGAAATTTAAATCTTTATTGTTCTATTTTATCGTTGAAATGCCTTTAGTGGTTTTATAACATCCTAATGATAATGATCGAATAACGACTGGTTAAGGATGAGCCTTTTTTGGTTTAGAACAGGCAATAGCAATTCATCTATGTTAATCCTTAAGTTAACCTTCGCGGTTTTTACATTCTGGTACTTAGCGGCATCAATTAAAAGTTCGCTACGTCGGGTTCACGTGATGGTCATTAAAATTGAATTATGGTTGCATCTGCGTCGGCAACTTCAAATTTAAAGTTTTTTAGAATCATAATTTAGGTACTTATTTGTGGTTTTAAAAATGTTTGCTCTTATCATGATTTAACTTAATATGGTCATATTTTCCTTTACAAGCAAATTACGTGCTCATTGAGCTTCAACGAGTTCTAAACGCCAATAGATTATGAAACATAAACACTAAATTGGTGTGCTTCGATAATATTACAATTTATATGCAGCAAGCATTTAATATCATCGAATATTGCATCAATAGGTAGCTTTTAAAGTATATTTGGGTGTAATTAATGATTTTGATGAAATGTTCTGTTTTCTTTCACAGGCTCTTACCGCGGTGAAGGCGCTGGAGCCGGTGGTTATTCTGGCGCTGGTGGTTACTCCGGAGCTGGTGGTTACTCCGGTGCTGGTAACTCTGGCAGCGCTTTTGGCGCTGCTGGTGCAGGTGGCAACGCTTTTAGCGCCGGCCGCGTCGGCGCTGGTAGCGCTTTCGGTCAAAAGGCTTTCGGTGGTGCCGCTTCCCGCCAATACCTCGCACCCAACGCTGGACCCCGCCCATCAGGCTCCGGCAACTTCAACTCCCAAACCGGCTACAGATATTAACTCAAATCCGATGAATGATGAACGGGGATTAAATAATGATAGACCATTTTTGTTACATCTACGTTGACGACTCTCTCATGTTTTCTTAAGCTTTTGTTGATCAGGTGATAAAATTGTTTGTTTTTCCAAATCTCATGTTTCAACCATGCAGTTTTTACTAAGGTGAGGTTGTAAGATTTGGATTCAAGAAACAGTTTTATCACTGGCCAAAGATATCACACCGTTTTTTCGATTTCCTTCGATGTTTTCTTTTCATGATGTTTAAATTATTACCATTAATCTCTTTTTTACCCTTAATTCTTATATTCCTCTTTCGTCATTTTAAGATCTAAGCATGATTTGACGATGAACGCTTTGAACTGATTGTATAACAACACAAGATATTCTTCTTAAAACTGTTAAAATAAGTTTTTTTGTACATGCCTTCACTTATATTATACATTTTATGTTTCCCTTTCTATAATGTTAATGTGATCTCAAAAACTCTTATAATACTTACTATAAATTATGTATTCTTATGAAAAAGATTATCTATGATATTTTTTATACAGCAATGCAAAGGACAGTACTAGAAATAAGAAGAAAATGTATAAAAAAAAACTTTTGTACAATGAATTAGTTGTAAGTTTTGTAAATACATTTGAATATATGATTTAAATGCATATGTGTCTTTTTATTTAGATTATCATATTTTCCGTACTGCTAGTACTATTATATAAATACATTGAAATTAGAATTTCTATTGCGAAATTATGGGCACTTATAATAATAAACAAAGGTCAAATTATATAACACACTGGAGCCTTTATCTTGTCTAAACCCAAGATATTTTTGTATACATTCCACATAAATAAATATTTATAAATATATAAATTGAATTAAAGTCAATATTTTTTTTACCGATTTTAATTCAATTTCTTTGTTAAGTGTCGAATCAGTAGGGGAATTTAACAATCCATAAATCATCCGTATATAAATATCCATAAAAATATTATTTTGTGATAAAAATGAAAAAAAAGATTATAATAACTAAACATAATATTTATCAGAATAAAAAGTTTTTCAGTACAATAAATATACTGATTGATACTAAATGGACAACGTTGGCACCAAAGTGAAAAAAATAAAAAAAATGTGTGCGTGTACTAGTGTACACACGTAAGAAGTGAAACTTCTTCATGGCCTTATTTTTCGAAAAATGATCTACATGCAACTTTCCAGAAATTGGTTAAATAAAGTTAAATTAGATAAAGTTTAAACAAAAGGATTTTATTATCATAGACATGAATACAAATTACTGCCTATGAAACTGTTATGATTACACGGCTCAGTAATCTAAGGCACATCTTCCACCTCCGACTATTAATATAAAAAAAGATAGCGCGTAACGGAAAAATGTGACGGTAAATTTTTTTCCAACGCCGATAAAGAAGTTTCACTTCAAAAACATTAAAAATGTTTTTTTGCACTTTGTAGCCGCTACGCAACCGACATCTTATTACACCATTAAACCTACACCTACCTTATAGTTTTTTTTTTATATTTAATTATTCGCATTGAAATTAGAAGCATCCGTTATGGATTTTATTAGCTGTGTAGAAAAAACGGTGGAATAATCTCCAAAACATTCAATAATCCAACAACATTATACAAAAATGTTAATATGTTGTGACAGTATTTATAGGATTTTTCCATTTACACCCCGTGTATAAATGGAAAAATCCTATGGAAAAGATGGAACGGAAATGCGTCACGAGCGACACACACACACACACACACACACACACACATATATATATATATATATATATAATAAAAATAATGTTATATAACGGGGATAAAGGTAACAAGTTTTATAATTATGTTGCTGTTTCATACCAGATTACTAGAGATGGACCGACTAGTCGGCGATTAGTAGGCGACTATTCGGCAAAACATGCCGATTACAATCGGCACATAACAATGAAATAAAACTCAAAACTTATGCTTGTTTTGCATATTTAAACACTACCTAGAGTATGTGTTTAAAGTACACAATAAAAATTAAGAACTTAAGAATCTGTCGATAATTCAGATAACTTAGCACAATTAATATCGCACATAACGAAATTGCAATGGGAAGTAAGTATATATGTAGTAATGGTAATAGTAAATAAAATCTTAAATGCTAGCGAATCTTAAAGAAGTCCATATGCTAATTTTTTGCCTTAGAGGCAAATTGTGATGTTGGAACGTGATTATTTCGGCTCGATTTGGGAGACTCATGTGGTGCGTGAGCAAGCCGAGTAGTGACGAAATATTCCTAACACCTTCCTAAGATAGGTATTAGAATGATCGGCATTGCAGAATAGCCGTCCGACTAGTCGGCAATTCGAAAAACGATTAGTCGGCAAATACTGTAGACGGCCCATATCTACAGATTATCATACTAAATTGAAGCTTTCAAGGACATTAGGACATATCCTTAGAATTTTGATGACACTAGTCAGTGAAGAAAACTGGTTTGTGTAAATAAAAAATAATCTAAGGTAATTAAATTATAAGAGCTATATAATATAAACTTTATCAATGTTTAATAAGTCCGGTACTGACAACATATCCCGAGAATGTTGTTTATGTGAAATATTATAATCCAAACTACTGCATCGCATGGACCACGCGCGCTGGCTTACGTTGTCACCGTCTCACTGTGGCTACAATTCCAACGCGTACAAAGAAATTTGGTGACTCATTTCTTTGTCGCACTATCCGTAAATGTAATGCTCTGCCCGCTCACGTGTTCCCTCCCTCTTATAACCTGGGATCCTTTAAAAGAGGCGTGAAGAAGCAACATGCAGGCCGTCAGGGTGAGGATGGCTGGTGTGGCAGGTAGAACTGCTGTATCAGTTATCTTCGCGTCTGAACTTCGCCTTCACTTAATATCAGGTGGGGTGGAGTCATTTGTCGGACCTATCTATAAAAAAAAACGCACTAACCACTTTCCCACAAATCTAAAAACAAAATCAATGATGTTTTATTATCTGTTAATAAAGAAAATACTATTCTGGGAGCCATACCGCAGTTGCGTCATGATCCCTTAAAATTTTAAAAATGCTTAAAAACATTTTTGATCCTGCTACAATAGCAAGGATCTCTTATCTATTAGAGAAGTCCGTCCGTCCGTCCGTCTGTCTGTGGTGCTGTTTCAGCGGCCAAACCGTAAGAGATAGATAAAGAGAATATTTAAGTTATAAGTTAAGAATAGTCTGATAAGACTACAAACCGGATTTGAGTAACGTAGCACTTCCGGTTTTCGAGAAATCAGGTTTTGGTGAACATTTGGTTCACTGGTTTGCTAGTACAGTTCTAATATGCCATAATAAACATTATGATTAAGAGGTACAAAAAAAAATGCCAATCTATTCTGAGGGTTGCAGGTATGTACACGACGACGGCGGAGGGAGTCGCCCAAGTAGCCTTCCACAGCGGACGGGGGGCGGTACAGTGGGCACTAGGCCGCGTACTCAGCCCCCATGCGCGGGCCTACCCGCGCGTCTGCGGGGTCCCCGCGATATTCCGGGAGACCCCTGCCGTGGAGCCTCGGCTAGGCCGGGAGGCTGCTAGGTGCGAAGACGCGGAAGAATCCCTAAACGGGGATCACGCGGCTTCGCGCTAAGCAGCTTAGAGGGTATTCGCAGGGTTTTTTAGCGTATATTATGCCGTAAAGCGTCCGTAAGAGTTACGGGGTCCTCAGTGGCTAGCCACTGCTGGGGCTTGTAAGGCTTGCGGGAGCCAAGTGTGAGGTCGGTTCGGCGGTGTGCCTCTTGAAGGCGCCGTCGTCTGTAAACAGTATATTTTGCCTGCGTATAAAAAAAAAAAAAGGTATGTACCAGACGATAGCAATCGGGTGATCGGGATAGTAATGTTTGTTCCTTTAATTGATTGAAACATATACATTCTAGTTGTTGTAGACATTTGCCAGAATAGTATACAGGGCGTCTCGCGGTCCACGGTCATGATCATACATGGAGGGAAAGTATATTAAATATGTAAGATGAGATATTTTACTGAAAGGACTCACTATGTGAATTAAAATAATAAGTAGATTTGCATTCACAGATTTTTTAAAACCGCCTGCCAGAATCAGAAATCAAACTCGTGAAATGTGAAAGTAAAACCACATGAACATTTATGATAACCGTCGAAAAGGTTAATCATAAATATTATTTTTTCCAAAGTAACATAGTACTTTAAATTAAAGACAAATCATGAAAATTAACTTTGTATTCAAAATAATTGAACACAAATTACAATAAAAAGGAAACGGGGCCGGTAGAAGTAAAATAATCAAAAGATAAATTTATCAAATGTTCAAAATTTAATCGATTGTGAAGTATACAAACACTCTTTTAACAATTTATCTGTCTGTCGTTTAAAATTTTAAGGGAAATGAACCGCGAGATGCCTACCAGAATGGTACTTTCATTATTGACAGATAATAAAACATAATTTAAAAAAAAAACAAGATTTATGGAAAACTGGTTAGTCAAATGGTTCAGTAAATTTTCTGCTATAAGGTTTGATATCATGAAAGAAAACAATATTTTAGACAAGTGGTGCCATCTATCCAAAAAACGAGGAACTTGAATGCACAATAGAACTACTTTCAAAATATTAGTGACTGGAGTTTGTCAAAGCACGAGTGGTGCTTTTGAGAGCTTCGTGGCTGAGAAATTTTAATTCAACATAATAACGCTTTCAGGTTGGAAATTTCTAAACAAAGTATCTCTAGGTACTTTAAGACCCGAAAAGGGAGTCCAGGGTAACTGAACTCTAGTACTTTTATTCAATGAAAACTACTTATTGAGTTTTATATTGTATTTCAGAGAATTATAACATTATTATCACTTTGTTTTTACATCTACGCCCGTTTTCACCGTGCCGTGCTATCCATCGAATCGAGGCCAAAGGTAACCTGATTCTATATTTAAAATATTTCATATAGTTTTAAATATGAATGCCAGCCGGAGGCACTAGACGAGCAAAGAGGCTGTTCCGCTGCGGACATTACAGAACCTAGGTCAAATTGAATTTTTGAATATCGCTCATTTATTTTACTTTTTCTATATCTAAGTTCCTAAGAGACAAAAATGTTAATGCTTTTTAGTAAAAAAGTAGGATTTACTTTTTAAAATTATTGAAATCATGATATTCTTATAGTTCGTTGGGAATTACCTTTCTGCTCGGTAAAGTTATCAGACACATTACTTAAATGTTAAGCTAACTTTTTGCACAAATAGCCCTATGTTCTCTTTTAATTTTTTTCTTAAATTGTGTTACCTCATTT